TGGGCATCACCCGGCCCCTGCCTGTCATGAAGGGAGTCACCTCAGAGTCACTTCAGCTTCAGAAGTGAGACAAACACTTGAGCAGGGGAAACATTCAGCAGCAAGAGTGTCTTACTAAGAGGTAAGTTGCTAACAGAGGTAAAGAGTAAGTGGAATAATGCTCCGAGTAATCCTTGCTACTTTCAGGAAGGATTGGCTCTGTCCACGCTAGCAAATGGCAAAGAAAGTAGTAGTAAAAAATAAGTCAAGTTACAGACTCGAACAGCTGCAGTTGTGTCACTCCTTACACAGGCTGGGGTGGTGCTCCTTTGCCCCCAGCGAGGTGGTAAACGGCCAGGCTCACTTCGTGGGCGAGGGCATCCGCGTTCTCCTGTGGAGTATTTTACAAGTTAGTTACCTTGGTGTCAGCAGGAGGAGGTTAGAGCAGACACGTGATATCAAGGCAAGTTTTTTGTGCAAAGGCCGTGTCCCCTGTTGTCCCGAGGTACCACATGCCACTGTGCTCATGCTGGCAGGAGCAGGTGAAGGGGGAAGAGCAGGGCCACTGCTTTTGCTGTCGACTTTAGGTTCACATGTGGACTAATTCTTAACAGCAGCCAAAGTTTATTTATTTTTTTTTTTTGCCCCGGATGAAATCACACAGTTAGGGGCTGCTTTGGTAACTTTCTTCTGAACCCTGAGTTCTGAGAAGGCTGATTCTCTTTTCAAAATTGTCTAGTGTCAAATCTGCCTTTAGAAGTGATAAGAACATTAAAGATCACTTGTATAAATAAAAAAAGATCCAAAGAGACTTTTCCCCAAATTTAGCACCTGTTGCGTGATTAAATGATGAGTATGTAAACATACTTCTGCCTCCATCACCCACTGCTAAGCAGAAGATTGTTTAACACAACTTCACGTCCCATACAAGTTGTTTAAGCTCTGACCTGTGTGTCTGCTTCAGCGTATATTCTCACGACATCTTCGGTGCCTGATGGACGGACAAACGCTCGTGACAATTTGTACTTCTTTACAAGCTCATCAATTTTCTCCTGTAGTCCTGGCGGTGTAACCGCACGCCTTTCTGCATCCATTGTGTCAATAACTCGCCTGTCTGCAACCTGCAGCATCAGAAACAGCCCGTTTATTTGTGTGCTGGAGCTGTCTGATGTGAGAAGAACGAGCAAGGTGAGGGCTCAGTCAGAACTTCAGGTTGTGATGTGTTGCGCTGCCTGAAGAAGAGCTCAGTGTGGGAGTTCCCTGCTTACCTCAAACCCTTTGCGCTCCCTGTGCAGCTACTGCTCAGCACAGCTTAACCAAGTCCTGACAGGACTCGGCTGCTTGGTTTGGAAAAAGGGTAAGTTCTGCACCTGCCTCCTTGGTCAGCCTCTCAACTGAAGCTGCAGCTTCTCCCAGTCGATCAGAAAGCTTAAACTCTCTTCTCCGGTTAAGCTACAGCCCAGCGCTCCCTCGCTGTGTCTAACAAACAGGATGATACCGCGTGGGAGCCTGCTCTGCTCAAGCTCTTTCTCTGAACAGCGGAGAAGCTAAAGAAGGAAGAGCTTGGATATTCAAGTTATTACAAAGTGGCAGAGCAAGAAAAATCCAGCTGCCCAGCAGGCAAGGGCCTTAGAAAAATTGTATTTTTCTAATTGGAAACTAAAGAAAGAATTTCTGAGTTAAAATTTGATCAGTTTTGGTCAGGTTTTTCATTTAACTGTAGTTGGCTATTATTTCATCATTTGTATAAGTCACTTTTTTGTTTTAGTCCAAGTGAAATTCTGGTGGCTCCTCTGCGTTGTGTGTTGGCCTGCTAACCTACTTCTGCCCTTTAATGGTCTGTTTCAGCTTTAAATCAAAGCTTACCTAAAGACATGCAGGCAGGAGATGCTCCGGCAGGGCCCCAAGAGGCTGCCGCGACCTCAGCCCGGGCGGGGCCGGGGGTACCTTTTTTTTGAGCAGCCGATTCGGCAGGTCGGTGTAGAGGCCGTCCCACTGTTGCACAGTCAGACCTTTCAGAGCCAGGATTGCTTCAATAACCAACATGTCCGAGACAGCATCACCGACTGTCTGTTAACACAGGAAGGGAAGGAACCCTGGAGCAGGCACCGAAAAGGCCTGGTTTGATCAGTACGCTCCCAGCTGAAGAGAGTGAAAAATGCAGCCAGGCTGACAGCTCCGTCTGGGTGGCTGAGGTTGGTTGGGGGGTTGGTTGGGGGGTGGTGGCGTTTTGTTTTTTCCTCCTTACCACGCTGCCCTCCCCGCCTAAGGAGGGCTGGCGCCTCACCTTTGTTCTGGGCTGGGAAGTATGAGCTGGCACTAACCCAAGTGAGAAACGTCTGTGCTAAGGCAGGGAGGCCCAGGGCTGCGTGGGCACTGAACACCCTCACCCTCCTGTACCACAAAGTGAGTGAAAAGCATCAGATGCAAGATCACTTGCTGTTGTATCATGAACAAGTTACATCCTATCACTCGGTTCCCACACTATCCCACTCCCTCTTTGGGTCCTGAAGCCAGAAAACTGCACCAGACAAAATCATTCTGCATCCACTCCTGAGGAAGTATTGCATATTTCTAAAGATGACTGCTCCTGCGCTTTTCTTCTTGGCCCCTTCAATCATGGCACCCCGCTTCCTGCTCCAGCAGGCCCTGGCAGGAGCCCAACAGGCACTCACAAACTGCGTTAGCACCGTGACTGTCACCACAGTGATGCGATTCTCCCAGTTTTTACCTGATTAATCAGGTCAATCATGTTTTCAAGCACCTTCGCTGCTTCTCTTTTTTCATCATCTTTCTCCTCTTTTGCCAGTTGTCTTATTTTAGTTTCAGCAGCTTTACTAAATAACACCTAGAATAAAAAGGTGAGAGCTTGTCAAGATGAGCCCACATCACGAGCTAGGATAGGTGCAGCAATGAGGAAAAAAAACTTTTACCATTTAAGCCCAAATAACCATCATTAATGTTTGCTACCATGAATTCCCATCCCCACATAAAACATAGAGGAGTTGGTGGCAATGCTATGATAAAGACAAAAGAGGGAAACAAGTCTGTTCTCAAACACAGAGAGAAAAGTCTTGTTTCTAAGTGCAAGCAGAGAGTGAAAAGACCACCTTCACCCGCTTAACCAACTGAAATTGTGTACCTAGTGCCTGATTACATGCTCATACTTACAGTACCATGTCCGTTTGCCTCAAAATAAACACCAACATCAAACTCCTGAGCCTTGTGATGCAAGTGTTTCACTCCTGTTTTGACACAGTGCACAGGTACCTGCAGCCCAGGGATATGCACAGAATGTAAACAATGGTATAGACTCCTCAGCGGGGGGGGGACTGCAGGTGAAGTGCCAGGAACTGAGCACCAACCCGGGCAGACTGTTACAAACTAACCTGTGTTTCACAACTACTGCCTCCTCAGAGCTAAAGTTACCCACTATTTCTGCAGATCCAATTACAAAGAAGATTTCATTTATTCAAGTGGAAATAAAGGCTGATTTTGAAAAAAAAAAAAAAACAAACCCAAAACCAAAAACACAAACCAACCACATAACCCAAAACCCAAAAAAACCAAGAAAAACCAAAACCCGAAACCAAGAAAAACCCAATTCATTTCATGGTTTCAGGGAACATGCCAGATTTCTGTCCCAACTGAAATAATACCTTAGCTCAATCCCCGCAGTGAACAAGATGCAGCCTGTTGCAGAAAATGAAACAACCAGTGTCAACGTATCAAGGAGCCTTTACCGACTCACTTTGTTGCAAAGCCATAAAGGCCACAACTTGTTCCAGGCATGACAAGGGCTTTCATTTAGCTTTTGCTAAACTTTTTTACAACTAGTAAAAGCTGACTAGAACGTTTTTTTCAGCTCTGCTCTCTTGCATCTCTTTTACCACCAAGAATTTAGTTGCTCCTGCAGGTTTCAAAGAGTCAATTATTTTAGCCTAGTTTCAGTTTCCCTAGCAATTATATTACAGCAGCATTTATTTCAAAAATAAACAAATTTTCAGTAAACATTTGCAGAAAACTACCAGGAAAAAAGACAGAATACCTTCAGTGTCTCCTCAAGGTAGCGTGTCGAACTCCCATTGGCATATGCTGTTTGTACCACTGCCATCTTTAAGGGCTGTCCCACCTGAGCAAAACAAGAAGAAAAAAGTGCTTTACTGCCCGACAGGCACACGGCCAGACGCATAGGATAAATGGAAGGATAATCAGAATTATTAAGCATACATTCTCCTACAGACATTTAAAACTCCTGGGCACGAGAGGAAGCCACCAGCTCACAGAGAACTGCTGTATGTTTAAGACAACGTGAGTTCTGTTCAGGTCTCTGTATATCACATTTTTTCGTGGCCGGCTTGAAGCAGCTCTCCAACCTTAGGCTTTCCAAACCCCTTTTTCTGACCCAGCAAGCCCAGTGTGCTGGCCAGACACACGGCATTGCATAAGCCCATATATACACGCAGTGAAGTCAAAGCTTCCAGCGCAAAGCAAGCAAAGGCGAGTGGCAACCACAAGCTCTTCTCACTGGCCAGCTTCTCTGCCACAGCGTAAGAAATGAGCCGGTCTCTAAGAAACAAAACCAGGATACCTTGTCTAGTTTCGTATCATTGACACCATGTCTAAAAGGACTACTGAAAAAATAAAAGTTTTTTCTCTCAATCCCCTGTGGGGAGAGGATGCTACACAGCAGATACAGATAGTGGGTTTGGAATGATGACATACAAACCCCCTGCCTGCCACAACCAAGTTCTCATGCAAATGGAATGCCCAGCCTTCTTAAAGCTTCAGAGAAATGCTGAGGGAAGGACTGCACTCAAAATTGATGAAAAATTAATGAAAGATACCAAAATAAAGAGAAGGGAATATCAATCCTTTGTACACTGAAACTGGAAAAGTTCTCTCCCACTAAGAAAAGGTTCCAGGTTAAAACACCAGTGCTCAGATTCCTATTTAGAGTGTGGAAGTCACACCCTTGTAAAAACAACATTTTGGACATACCAGTGAGGTACAGGATTGATCTCTTTTTAAACCAGCTTCACTTTAGGTAGATATAGAGAGACCGCATATGTACAAACTACCACAGCTTTCTTAGACTATATTACACTTTACAAATTAAAGTGTCAGCATTCATTTCATATGTTAGAGTTACCTTGGCAAGAAGTTCTTTAAGGAAGATACTAATTAAAGTTGCTATTTTATCTCCATCGATTAGGTGAAAATGGCCAGTTGTGTCCTTATAGTAATAAACAATTCTATCTGCGTCGCCATCAAATGAGCAGCATCTCTCATTGGGCTTCATGTCTAGCCCTAGAGCACACAGAGTTACAAACGCAAGTTAGAGAGAGAAAAAGATACAAAATATTTAAATTAGTCCCAGTGTGGATCTCATTCAGAAATTAGCTCCCTGCTCACGCACAAAACTAATGCTCTGCAACAGCCATTGCTTCTACTAATGGACTTGCAACAGGGAAGCTGTATCAAATGGCCACTGAAAAGTGCATAATCAGATCAAAAATGTAAATACTAATACAAAAAATGCAACTTCTCTAAACATGCATTATGCCAAAGCTTCTCCCCAGATGTGTATGAAGATCAGTCTCAGAACTACGGCGTGTAGTCCCATCTCACATTTTGGACACAATTGCTGAAGGTCAGTTATGGCACAAGGTTAAGGACCTTGCAGCAGCAGCAGCACACCCACTCCATCCTCACAGAGCACGCCGAGTCGCACGCATCACCCACCCACCGAGGCGAATCGCTTTCCCCCGCTGTGCAGCAGCGTGGGTCGGTGTTCACAGAGCCCTGTGCGGGGCCGTGGCACGCTGCGCACCCCTGGGTGCGGGGGCAAACCACGCTCAGGCTGAGGAGGGCTCCAGGGCCACATCACCTGCATTTCCCGGCACGGGGCAGGTCCACTGCCTACTCTTGGTATAACGCTGCTATGTCCTTCACCCTCCGAGAACCATGGGAATGAACTACTTTTCCCTTGTGTCAAAAATGCTTTTCTTCAGGAAATATTCCAGGTCTGTTTAATTTTATTCCGTTCCCACTTGGCAGACCTGTACCTGCCCTTTGCTTCCTTTCACACAGAGGACACGCTTTCCTAGTGCAAGGCAAGCGTGCAGCCCCACGCCAGCAAAGCCATCACTGAAGTGCAATTACAACAGGAGGTGGCACAGAAATCCTACCATTGGAAAAACAACCCCACTCCAAAGCAACCATCAGCAAGATTTCTCAAAGCTGTACAAAAAACACACACGTGGATCTGCTGGCAAAAAAACACCTCACTTTTAGTTTGCTTGATATTCAGTTTATAAAATAATATATAGAATGCATAAGGAGTACCTGCCTCAAAAATTTTCCAGGCTTAATGCCAATGGAGAAATAGCTAGGAAGCAGTCAACACCTGACACAGCAATACCACAGGACAACGAACTGCTCTGTTATGAAGGTACACCTTGCTTTTCTTTAGGATGTCAATCACGTTAACCTCAGAGTCCATGCCTCAGAACCCGCAGCGGGCCAATCCCTGGGCTGGTTTCAGTGTCAGGAGCTCAGCAGGGAGCTCCAAAGGACACGCTGCATCCTGTGACCCCGTCTCGGAAAAAAAAATTTTAGTACACAAGCAACAGGAAAACTGGCCCACGTTGCCAACACCTCGAAGGACACGCTGCATCCTGTGACCCCGTCTTGGGAAAAAAAATTTTAGTACACAAGCGACGGGAAAACTGGCCCACGTTGCCAACACCTCATCCTTCAGAGCACAGGAAACTACACCCCAAAACTTGCCTGTTTCTTCTCCTGCGTGCCTCCAGCGATAGAGGACATCCCACTGCCACTGAGATCCTCAAGCTAAAGCATGAGGTAATGGCAACTGCAAGATTTAACAGGTTGAGACTCCCTATGACTTTAAACAGGAAGCTGGGACTGCTTATCACTTCAGAAAAATCCCATCGTTTATTTCAGTGAATGATTAGGAAAGTACATTTTCTTTTCAGAGCGCATCCCTGCACAGAAATGACCAAGGAGTCTCCTCTCAGTCCCACTTAAAGCCGGGATCCACATGTCACACACAAGCATCCATCCCCGGCAGGGACTACTGCTGTGCTCTCCCCTTTCTACACCTCTCCAGCACGCAAGCAGCATGGCAAGGCGGAAACGACATCGTACCTCGGTGTTCAGATTTGGCTAGCAGCTGCAGTGAGGTGCAGTTGTCAAATGGAGAACCCAGTTCAGCCTCAAATACTTTAATATCCAAACCAGCCTGCTCCCCCAGTGCTTCTACGCACTTTGTAGGAAATTGGTTGAAATCGTTTCCTCACTGGTTTATGTCAATCAGTCAGACTGCTGGCACCAAGCTGTGAATTATCCCAGCCCTTCCCCAGGAACCTGGAAAAGCATCTGCAACCCCAGCCCACAACGTAAATGTTTCTTGATAACACAAAGGGAAGTAAAACAAATAACAGTAAGCCAGTCCTGACTGATCTTTGGACTCTACTAGTTTAACATTCAGACCAGATTGTCAAACATGTTTCAGCCAGAGACACACTGTACTCCTCCAAACAACTTAGACTAACATCAACTAGGGATGTGCCAAACCCAGCCATACAATTCTCTCTTTCCATTGCACAAGCAGAACCATTCATGCCATCACGTCGTAAGAACCCGGGAGCTCAGCTTATGTGAAGATCGTACACCATTGCTAGACCCTGCGCTTTCAGATCCAGAGAGGAGTTAAAAAGATATAAAATTACTGACTACGTACCTCTAGGGGGTTTCTGGTGAACTTTCACAAAATCTGCACCACACAAGTGATTGAGTTTCTCCTTGGTTCCATCATTACACAGGTGGATTAGCACCTCCTTTCGGAAGTAGGGCTCCATTTCTGACAGTTTCAGGGCTCCTATTCCATTGGCACAGTCAATCTTCAGGTGCCTCTGACTCTCTCCAAAGCTGGGAGACTTAGCACAAGGGAAGAAGGGGCAAAGTGAACTCATACCCTAGTGAAACCACACCTAGAGGCATGTTGAATTCAAAACTTCAGACATGAACAGGCTAACGAACAGGAGATACTCATTTCGTACATTTGCATGAAGAAGACAACACCCAGTATTCACCTCTTTTATCAGTTCCATAAAAGCTTTGGATAGTTTTTCGTAATAACCTTCCAGCGTTGCTTTCCCATACTGCCCTTGGGTGTTTTGACAGCAGACCATGTAATGTAGCTGTGGTGTTGTCACCAGACCATAATCTAGCATAAGATAAAAGGCACAATATTCAGAAATAGAATACTTCAGAATAATTCAGAAATTAATCCCTTCTCAAAAGTTGCCCAGTATTGGCTATTCTACAATAAACAGACAAATGCAGTGCAGGAAACCCATATGAAATTTTTCAAGTTCTGTTATGAAAAGATGAAACACCCTTCCGATCCTTGCATTAAAGCCATACAACTACCCTAAAAGAAGATCATTTAAAACGAAGATCCATGCAAAAATGGAAATGGTGTCTGGGCTACTGCTTTAAGTCTACATAAGAGAGTCACGTTTACATAAAAACTTGAAATCAGACTAGAATCACGAAAGTTTAACATACCATGGTACTGACCACCTAGAACGAAGATACCATCTATTACTGACTGCAAAAGTTTCTCGCTGCTTGGCCTGGAAAATAGCAAATACAACTGATAACCTTTGCAGAAGACATTTATGGATGGACTTGGGAAGGAAGCGCATGTGGAAGAAGACTACAAACTTCCTGCCAGTAGACTTAGATCCAAAATGAAGAAAGCCACACTTTTCTATTGTAGGCACCTCCCAATAAGGAAGTTTGAAAGCCACCACCCCAGAGAACTGCAAAGACAGGTAAACTGCTGAACGCATGTGGATGTCACACAGTACCCACCAAAAAAAAAAAAACCAAACCCAAAATCAAACCCACAATAAAGCATCCTGCTCAGAAACAGCGCTAGGAAGCTCTCATAACTATCAGGGAAGCTAATACGGGAACAGCATTGGAAAACTTTTGTTTATTGCTATAATCATAAATTAACAGGTAGCATACTAGGCATTAAAAAAAAAAAAAAAGCATAATCTGGCTGCAGAGGGCTAAACATGCAAAAGCACCCATGAAAAAAACATTGGCATTTCCACAAAAGCAGCAGACACCTTCAGCATTCTGTAATTACCTGGTGTCTCTACCAATAAAAACTGAAGCATCTTTGTGCTGGTTCACTGCTGCTTTTTGGCAGATCTCAGTTATTACTTCCTGCAATTCTCTCTCCTCTGCATTTGCTAGTTGCGTGGCATACTCTTCCCAGGAAGGGTGCAGCATTTCTCCAAGAGGATCAACCAGCTTTACGCCATTATCTTCCTTAGAAGAAAAAAGAACAAAAGACAGTAAGCCTAGAAGTGGGAAACTGAATAAAATCTCTTTGAAGACAGGTGACACATGTTTCAATCACATTGCTTCTTTAAACGTGGAGCAGTGCTGGGAAGTAATAGCCGAGCTGTTTATTTAAACCTCCAACAAGCCCCAAAAAATAATGTCACCAGCATACTAAGTAACTGACTTTTTCCCCCTTATAATTTTGGTATGAAATTCACTTGACATTAAAATGACATAAGGGGAGCTCCACAGCAGCAGAAGTCTAAATGTCTGATTTCTAATTGCTGCAACTCTTCATTTTTTAAACTTGCAGATTTTGCTCAAAGGTTCATCTCTTCTCAAGGGTACTCCTAGCTTGCCAATGTTACAAATTTCCTGCATTACAGCATTTCCACATGACAGAAAATGACACTTGTGTGTACAGGGGAAAGTAACTTCAAACATGCAGGAGATCATCTTTACAGGGAGCAGGCTAAGCACATGCTTTAAGCAGGTCCAAGTGCCTTCAGGATCTGGTCTCTCGGTTCCATGAAGAGCTTTGATTCCACCAGACTGATCACATCTACCTTCTTTTTAAAGAAAAAAATGTTCTTACTTCAGGATTGTGAGATGCTGTGACCATGATGCCAATAGTAGATACCACGGCTTTGGACCTGAGAACTGCCAGCAAGCCCATGCGGAACATGACGTGATCAAGCTGTTCGGCCTTGGCGCGAAATCCAGCGGTGCCATACTGAAGAGTAAGTCCAGCAGGTTTAGGATGTAACGCTGAGTATTTTTTAAGGACTTCAGAATCCATTTCTAGAGAAGCAAGTAGCACAGACACCAGTGAGAGAAGTCAAGTCATTACAATCAGTTTCACATTTTGCACTTTAACTTTGAAGCCCACAGGTATCTTAAACCGTTCATATCAAATCCCTTGGTGGAACTGCGTGGGGGACCACCACCAGAGCAATCCACGAAGGAAATGCTCTACATTCCCAGTACAGCACTAGAATACCAGCGCTCGACCAGATTCACCAGATCACGAAGGGATGACGTGATTTAGGCGGGGAGAGCCACTACTCTCAATCGGCTGGATCCAGGGATCCTAACAAAGTTATCGCAAAGGGCTGGCCGCTTCTCCCTGTAACATTAGCCACCCAGCGCACTCGGCCAGGACTCCATACATTAACTTTTGAGTT